TATTTTTTCTATTATTTCAATGAGTGTTCATTTCTGTTGGAAGTTCACTATCATCCTCTCGTGCTCTCATTCAGTGAAAAGTTATTCTATAATCCTGTTTAATTTGTTAAAATTTGAACATTTATTTAAGTTAAACTTTTCAATACCTGCCCATCAATTTTGCCATTATAAATAGTATATAGCTTATCCTAAATAGTTTATCCCGGATAGAGGTGAACTTAGCATACTAAGTGCAAACTAGTCGTGTCAAGTGACACCAGAGCCAAGAAGGCAAATCAGTTATATCAAGTGATAACAAAGCTGAAAAGGCAAATCCCTCGTGTTGGATGTCTTGGCATTCAACATATAGAGTTGATTAAGTTGTACTTGAGATCTAACGGTCTGGAGTCATGGCACGTGGGTGTGGGTATCTGTTTCAATGACATCCACACCCTAGCAACTAACACAGGATTTTTTTTCTGTTTACTGAGTGCGGCTTAGCGGTCGTTTTGAACGCTTAACTGACGGTTTCCTGCAAGCACAGCTTACTAGTAAAATTGATCCGATTTTAGTGACATGGAATATCATTTGGTGAGCTAATGATTATTCAATGTGAGATTAAAAGCACATCTTTACTATTAAATGATAACAAATCTTTGATGTGACGCTTTATCTTTGTTTTATTGTTTGTTCTGAAAATATGAAAAAAGAATAAAGTGCATGAATATATATTGTTATTTTTGTTTTGTCGCCTCATTGTTGACTAAGCATTATATTTCATTTCAAAGGTTGATAACTAAATAATATAGATGATTAAAGCAGAGATGTGACTATAAAGAGAAGAATACGCATCCGTCACTTTCAGAAAATTTTCAGTTCTTTTTCAGTCAAAATCGTATTTTTTTATTATAAAGAAAAAGATCGTGAAGTGAAAAAAAAGAAAGTCCAGCGTCTTCCCCGTCACATCCCTAGATTAAAATAGCGAAATATTATTGAATTGAAAAACAAAACCATTATTTTTTAGATTCGAAACAATTTGAAATAAATGTCAAGAGGACGATCAACATCTTTTGATAGTCAAGATGAGAAAACAAGGTCGAATGTTTTTCAAGTAAGATTTTATTTTAAAAAAATTCTTTTTTTTTTCTTTCTTTCTTTTTAAATTTATAAATTAGATAGATGTTATATCACACACAAGTATAGATAATCATGTATTAAATAATACTGAAATAAATGTTGATGATAATAAAATTTTATTATCACCAAATAAAACTAATCTTCATCGAAATTTAAAAGAACGACATATGATTATGATTGCATTAGGTGGAACAATTGGTACTGGATTATTTTTAGCATCTGGACAAGTATTAGCATCATCAGGACCTGGTGGTTCTCTTATTTCTTATAGTATTGTTTCAATTATGGTTTATTTTGTTATGACAACTTTAGGTTTGTTTAAACTTTAAATATATATTTTTATTTAGAATTTTGTTTTTTTAAATTTTATTTTCTAATTCATAAAAAAGATTCTTACAATATGTTAATTAATGAAATAAATTGAGTAATAGATTAAATAAAGTCAATATTAGAATATGTTGAACTATTTTAATTTCAATAAACAAATGAACATTGAAAGAACAAAATCATTTTCATCCAATATATGAAAAACAAATGTTTTATTTGAAAATTTTTATTTTGAAATCTTTTCTTTTTCAGAAGTTAAAAAAAACGTCAAAGAATGAAAGCTTTTCATAGATAATATTTAATAATAAAACGTCAAATTTGTTGTTTATTATCTTATGTTTATTCGGAATCTGAAGTTGTTGTTTTTTTTCATATAAATTAATATTTAAGAATGAAAATCTTGACTCTATTATTGATATCTATTTTTGTAAGACTAAAAGTATTTTTGTCAATATTTGATTTATTTTATTTGACATTGTCAGAAAATAGTTAAAATTTCAATGAGAAAGATCTTAATCATCATATGAATTAAATCATCGTTTCAATAATTAGAAGAATATATGTCTTTAAATTTAAGATAAACTAATTTTATATTTAAAAAAAAACGATTTATAATAAAACCAACGTGTAAAAAGTCTTAGCAGAACAGGTCTCCTCAATAATTGTCTATTTAGAATTGACTAGAGAAAATCAAAATCAATCAACTAAAATTACAATTTAATGCTCTTTATAACAACATATTGACATAAACTTATTTAAATGACAGCAAAACTTTACTGGAAGACAAGTGCAAAAGTATTTATACATCTTTATACTAACTGAGTAGGCGTGTCAGACAGAAGACTATGTTTCCATGAAAATGTTATCAAATTTGAAACTGTGTTCGAATGTGTGCACCGAGTACACTGAACATCAAATTTTAGAAGAAGAAGAATACTCTGTCTAGAGACGGTTTCGATAGTCCGATATTTTTCTTACAACTATTACTAGCTGTAACCTTTGACAGAAGACCGATCTGACGCAGAGCTATTCGGCTTAATCACTTGAGTTTTCTCATACATACTGATTGACCGCATATTAGCCACAAGAGCCTTTTTTTATAAATTAATCACGTATCAATTTATTATTGAACGGGTATCTCGAGGCAAACAGCTGTTAGTGATTTGTCCAAGGTTATTCTCTGTCTGATGACGTCGAGATCCGAACACAGTATCTTGTGGATATGTGATAAATATTTTAACCACTCAGTCATGACGTCGAGGTTTTAGAAAAAATACATACTTTTATCAATAGGGAAATTGTTAGAACAAAGTTTTTCATATAGAACGATAGAGCAAGAGTTCTACAATTTATTTCGTACTATTCAATTCTAAATAGACAATTATTGACAAGACATGTTTTCCTAAGATTTCTTAAACATATTGATTATATTTGATCAATTTAAAAGAAAATTTCAATATTAAAATAGCTGAACTTTCAACACAATATCCAATAAGTGGTTCATTTAGTACATATGGAAGTCGTTTTGTTGATGAAGCATTTGGTTTTGCATTAGGTTATAATTATTATTTAGCTGGTGTAACAGTAATTGCTAGTGAATTAATAGCTGCTGGAATTATTGTACAATTTTGGTTACCACATTTTCCAACGATTATTTGGTCACTATTAGGAATGATAATAATGTTTATATTAAATGCATTTACAGTAAAAAGTTATGGAGAAGCTGAATATTGGTTTGCTATGATTAAAGTTTTTACTGTTATAATATTTATAATAGTTGGTTTATTAGTTGATATAGGTGTACTTGGACATGTTAAAATTGGATTTCATAATTGGAAAATTGATGGTGCACCTTTTTATAAAGGTATAAGTGGAATTGTTACTAGTTCAATTGCTTCGAGTTTTGCATTTGGAGTAAGTTTATTTTAATTTTAATTTTAATTATATAATTCTTTTTTTTTTTCATTTGATAAATTTTCTAGGGTACAGAAACTGTTGGTGTAACAGCAGGTGAAAGTGCAAATCCTCGTCGTGATGTTCCACGTGCAATGCATGGAACTGTTTGGCGTATTATTTTATTTTTTGTTGGATCAATTTTTATAATGGGTCTTGTTATTCCATATAATGACCCTAGTTTAGTTCATAATGAAGTTAAAAGTATAGATGTATCACCATTTACACTTGTTTTTATTAAATCAGGTCTTAAA